GGGAGTTGGTGCTGGAGAAGGAATTGTGATTACTTGCTTTATTTTTGAATGTTTTTCCTTCTGGTCTTAAAAGCAATGCAAACTCTTTATTTAAAAACAAAAAGATGAGAGAAGAGAAAGAAACACCATCCCCATCTCCGAGAAAAGGCTGGCACCGTGGGTGGACCAGCAGCACACTGAGGAGGGGGCAGCCTGGTGGAGGGGCCTGTGCTTTGCTGAGGGCACCAAGCCCTGTGGGGGGGCCTTGCCACTATCCCAGCCCTGCCAGATCCCCAGGGGACCCCAGAACTTCCCAAATGACCTCCTCCTAGAAGCTGGGCAGGTGCAAAGGGGCGGCCCAGGGACCCGGGCCTATCCTGCACCTCCAGACATCAGGACGCCTCCAGGCTCTCACACCCCACAGGCAGCCCTGGTGTGGCCTCCCCAGCTCCTGACTCCGGGTGGGCCCAACCTCCCTTCTGAACCCCCGTTTCTGAGAATGAGGTGGTTTTGGAGCTCGTGAGCAGAGGAGCAGTCAGCACTGGATGGCAGCCGAGCATCACCTGGCACTTGGAGCCAGACCCCTGAGTACCTTGTCGCTGCAGCCTGGAGACCAGGCTGGCCAGGACCCCTCCCCAAAGGCCTCGCAGTGGGCAGAGATTGGGGTGTGTGTGGGCGTACATACCATGTGAGTGACTCTGTGGTCTGTGTGTGTGGAGTATGTGGTGTGTGGCCTGCGTGGTCTTTCTGTGTGGTATATGCTGACCCGTGTGTGTGGATTGTGTGGTCTGTGTGTGTGGTGTATATGGGCACATGTGTGTTTGGTCAGTGTGTGGTATGTACATTCACATGTGTGGGTGTGTGTGGTCTGTGTGTGCATGTGTGTGGTGTATGTACATGCACAAGTGTGTGTGAGTCCCGTGTGGTATGAGGGGAACAGCTGTGGGAGAGCCAGGGAGCTCCACTCTGGAGCTCCAGCCACCCTGGCTCTTGGCTGCCCTGGCCCTGTCAGTAGTCCCAGAAGGAGGTTTTGGGGTCACTCAGGTGTTGGGCTGGGTGTTCTCATTTGGAGAATGGGACCCTGAGGTTGGGGTGAGTCCTGGGCCAGCCCCTGTCCTGGCAGAAGCCATCCCTGCCCTTGCATCTACTGCAGGCTCCAGGCATCCACCTGCTGGGGCTGAGCTGAGGGCCACGACAGCCCAGAAAGGCTCGGAGGCACCACGGCCCGGCTGCCACGTGGATCTCAGATGCTGGCCTCCAGCACCATGGGAGAAGAACGTGTGCTGTTGAGGCTGCCCAGTGCACAGCTCGCCGTGGCGCTCTGTTACGCGGGAAGCTCCTGCACGGCCCTGACGCCTCCTTTAGGAAGCCTCCCAGTGGCCGCAGGGCAGGGATGTAGGGGTGGCTTTGTTTCAGGGCTCATTACCGTCTTGTCCACATAATTTGGTTCGAATTGTGTACCTGAGGACTGAGAGTTTGGTTGACCATGGCTGGTTTGGGGGCCGCCTGGGTGAGGGTGAACTGGGATTGGAAACCCTCCAGTGCACTTTGGTGTGGCCCTGCCCAGTGTGTGGCACCTGTGCCCCTTACAGAGGAGGAGGGCAGCTAGGAGGGACAGCGGCTTGCCCGAGGCGCTGGCCATGCCAACACCCTGGCCAGTCAGGTAGCGCCTGAGGGGTGGGCTGTGTGGTTGGTGACTTAGTCAGCGACCAGGCTCAGCAGCAGGGCGAGCAGGCTTTCTCAGGCTCAGCGGTACCCCCACCACTGCTGTGGCCGTCTCCCCATGGCACCAGCTACTGTGGGTGGATGATTCCAGAGAACTGCCTCATGCTGGGCCCTGCCCCAAGGAGGCAGGTGGCCCTGGGGTGGCCTGGACACCGTGAGTCTCTGCTGGGGCTGATGTTAGAGGGAAGGGTTTGGGATCAAGGCGGCGGCAACGCAGCCTGGAATAGTGGAGTGGCCCAGAGGCCAACCTGCAGAGCTTAACACAGCAGCCGGGGACCATGCTCCGATCATAGCGACTTCTGCATAAATCACCACGTAAGGACGTGTGCTCGGGACCCGCCCAGATGCGCGTTACTCCGCAGCACAGCTTTGACGCAGTCACCGCTGTTATCCGGAGAGAAGCAGCACCTCATCCTCCCAGATGCTCTTTCCCCGCGGTATTTACTCATCCACTCCTTCACTTGTTCATTTGGTGTCTCCCTTTTCTGGGAGCAGTGTGTAATTTTGTGTGCATTTTGCCCTCCCCACAGCCTTCGGGGAGGTGGCCCCGACAGGGCAACGAGGGTTTTGCTCATCGTGGGAGGGGCTTGGTGGTGGGGTTGGTTCACAGTCCCAGGGGAGGCCCCTGCTGCCCCAGCATCCTTCCTGTGAACTCATGCCACGTGCACCCCGCAGCCATGCACCGGCCATGGCTCAGCAGGCCCCTATGCACTGGGCTCTGCAGCCAGGCCTGGGCCACCTTGGACAGCTCCATGCCCTGCACCATGGGCAGAAGGGGCTGAGGCAGGCCGGTCTGGTGCCCACTGGAGTTGTCCCCTGTGCTTCCTGGTCACAATCAGACATGGGCACTCCCCAGGGTTGAGGACAGCCTGAGCCGTGTTGGGTGTTGGGGTAAGAGAGCTGGACGACCCCTCCAAGTTCCTCCAAGCCACACCCTACCAGTACATGTGACGTCAGCTCTGGCCAGGGTGCTGGGCTGGAGGACCCAGAGGTGACAATTGACAAGGCAGGTGCCGGAGGAGGGGGCGTCTAAGGTTATCGTAGGAGAAAGAGTGGGATGGATAAGGAGGGGCACCCAGACTGGAGAAACAGCTGCTGGGAAGCGCCCAGGCATTGCCTGCAGCTTCCTCTCTGCCAGGCTGGAATGGCCACCCTTCGTCCCTCATGCACCCACCACGGCTTTCCTCGGAGTCACCTCCCTGCCATCCTGTTGTTCTGAGCCCCCAGGCAGCCCCCAGACTCTCTGCTGATCTCCACAGGCTGGGAGCCCTGAGTCCGGGCATCTGTGATGCTGCCGCCATCTCCCTCAGGTGGAAGGGGCCGCTGGGGAGGAAACCACACTGTTCTCACTGCCGCTGGGGAGGAAACCACACTGTTCTCACTGCCGGGACCGCTGGGGAGGAAACCACACTGTGTTCTCACTGCCGGGACCGCTGGGGAGGAAACCACACTGTGTTCTCACTGCCGGGGCCGCTGGGGAGGAAACCACACTGTTCTCACTGCTGGGACCGCTGGGGAGGAAACCACACTGTGTTCTCACTGCCGGGGCCGCTGGGGAGGAAACCACACTGTTCTCACTGCCGGGGCCCCTGGGGAGGAAACCACACTGTGTTCTCACTGCTGGGACCGCTGGGGAGGAAACCACACTGTGTTCTCACTGCCGGGGCCGCTGGGGAGGAAACCACACTGTTCTCACTGCCGGGGCCGCTGGGGAGGAAACCACACTGTGTTCTCACTGCCGGGGCCCCAGGGTGCTGCACAGAGGAGGGCTTGCAGCAGGCGCTCATTACCTGCTCGGAGGAAGGAGTGAGGCAGCCAGTGAGTGGACATCCAGGTGGTTCCAGGGAGCAGGTGTCCACGTGGAGCTGGATGGCAGGGGACCTGGCACTCACCATTCAGGGTGGATTTGGGCAGCACTGGCTGAGGGACAGGCTCCATCCTGCCCTGGGGGTGCTGGGTTTTCATCTTTACCTGGAGCGCGGGCACTATCTTTATCTGTCAGTGTTAATACCTGGCTGTGATTGGCGGTCGCCGTGCCGCGTTTTACCAGCAGAGTGGCGTCTTAAATTCCATGGGTTGATTTGCAGGGTAGAACTTCCTGGTGGTTCACCTTCCCGCTCCTGAGACGCCCGGGCTGCCGGCCCCTTGCAGAGACAGCCTTCTTCTTGGAATTTAGGGGATGTGGAGGGGGCAGCGAGGAAAGCCAGGGAAATTATTTATGCTGGCACCTTTGGAAGAAATGTGCCCCTTCTCTGTACCACGGGTGATCTCAGACCCTGACTCTGCCCCCAGGGTCCTTCCCGCCTCCCTCCTGCCCTGTGGAGTGTCTGTAATGTGGGGAGCAGGGGTGGTATGACGAGAGATCAGGGATGCGGGGTGCCCCTGTGGGAGCCTGTCCACGACACCCATGGGTGATGGGTGTCTGCACAGCACATCCATGAAGCTTGGGTGTACCTGTGTCTGCATGGGCACGTGCACCCCTGGGGAGCATATCCTCATGTGCTGCTAGTGAGCCTGGGCCCCCTGGCCTTAGTGTGCTCATACCTGGGTGGCACCCGTGTAAACCTGCATGCCTGTGGCTCACTCCAGGGGTGTGGTGTGTGCACATCTGTGCCTTGTGTGTGGCCATGTGTGCCTGTGTGCATATATGTACATGCACATATGTGTGTGGGGACGTGCACGGCACTGTGGGAGGGCAGAGGAAATCCTGAACGCTTTGGCATTGATACACACAGTGGTGCCTGCCTGCTCATGCCTCTGTACCCAGGCGGGGATGGCAGTTCCTCCCTGGCAGCGTGGCTGGTTCCACACAGCCTTTGACAAGCCTGAGAGGGGGTCTGACCTGTTTTCCGGCTCCAAAATGCCATGCCCTGGGTCCAGTGTGCTGGCGCTTGGGGATGGAGACCAAGCACTGTGCCTCGTAGAGCCCGGCTTCCCTCCAGCAGGCGCCTGATTGTGTGCAGGGGAGCCAGCTCCCTCCTCGTGATCCGAGCCTTTCATTTCCGGGCGTGACAAAGATGGGGCTGCGTTTAATTTCCTGTCTGCCAAGGCAGTGCCGCCTGAACGCCAGGCTGTGCACAGGGTGGAGGTCGCCGACTTGACCCAGCTCTGGCTTCCATCGAGCGCTCCTTGCTGACAGCCTTCGAGGTGCTTTCGGACGCTCCCTCTGAGTGAAGCGGTCTCCCTGCCCTGTGGCCTGGCCGCCGGGGGCCCCTTGGTGGGTGGGCTTTGGGTGGGCTCTGGCTATGGGTGTCTGTAACGTGTGACCACTCATTCACTTCTGCTCTTCTCTGCAGGTCAGCTGGCCGCCGGCACCTGTGAGATTGTGACCCTGGACCGGGACAGCAGCCAGCCTCGGAGGACGATCGCCCGGCAGACCGCCCGCTGTGCGTGTAGAAAGGGGCAGATCGCCGGCACCACGAGAGCCCGGCCCGCCTGTGTGGACGGTAAGCACCTGCAGCCCCGGGACCCCTCCGGGCGCTGAGCGCGGCATCCCCGAGGGTGCCTCTTCCCTGATGCGGCCCCTTTCCTGAAGGTCCCCCTAGGCCTCGGTGTATCCTCAGGTCAGGTCCCTGGCCATTGGCACAGCTGCTCCCGTGGATTTGTGAGCTTGTGGCTTGGGGACTGGCTGGGGCGCAGTCTCCAGTTCCTGGGGGTGGTCAGGGAGATGCCGGCACCCTGTCTTACTTGCCTGTGTGTGGGGGTCTCTTGCCCGAGGCTGTGGTTCTTTGGTGTTGCCTCTGGGAGAGGAAAAGGACAGCAGAGGGGCCATCTGCAGGACGGCGAGGTTCCCTGGGTGCTGTTCTGTCGTCTACGTGTGGTCTGGCCGAGGCTGCCAGCGGGACCTGGCTCCTTGTCTCTGGGTCTGACCAGTTCAGGACACTCTCGTGCCTAGGCTCGGGAGGCCACAGCTCCGGCCCCCATGGGCTCTGAGCACGTGCAGAGGAGCGCCTGCTGTCAGCTGGTGGTGATCCCCGGCCCCTAGATGTCAAGCTGCTGACAAGCTGTGCTGTGGCTCAGCCTTGCTGGAAAGGGCACTTGGAAAGGGCACCTGCTATGAGGTGGCACAGGGTGGGAGGGGCTGTCCTGGCGCCTGGTGGGAGCCTGTCCGCTGGTAGGGAACTCTGCTGTGCATATGCTGTTGCTGACTGTAGGGGGAATGTGGGCTTGACCAAGGTCATTGGTGACCAGCCAGGCTCAGGGTTCAGCGTGAGACCTGGGAACCCCACAGCCGGGACCTCCCCAAGGCCCAGTGTGTCCCGGGAAGGAGTCTAGTGTCAACACCAGCCAAAGGTCAGGGGTGGGCGCGTAGGGCCGGCATTAAATCCAGGCTGCCCACCCCCTTGTGACCAGAGTGGGTGGGGAGACCCCTCCCTGGGGCAGACGTGGGCACTGCTATGGGCCTAGCCGGCAGCAGCCGTGTGCCAGTCCAGGCAGCCATGGGGTGAAGGACCCCATGCAGGGGTATTGGATGCCTTGGTTCCAGGCGCAGCAGCTTGACCATAGCCCAGGAGAGAGTGCAGGGAGGGAGGGTCCCCTGTGGGTGAGATGCAGAGTCCGCTAGGCGGGGGGCCCTGAGGCCACTCCTTAGGGTGGCGAGAAACCAGCATCCCTGAGTGGCAGGCGTAGACTTGAGCTGCTGTGGGGTTGCCCTCGAGCTGCGGTCTGGTGGGGGCAGAGGCCCTGCAAAGCCAGGAGAAGGTAGGGGCAGGGGCTGGGCAGGAGAAGATAGGGGCAGGGGCTGGGCAGGTGGAGTAAGTCCGAGGATATATAGGGGTGTCATTGGCTGGTGGCCCCTCCAGGCCTTGGTGGACTTCAGGGCAGCTATATCCGTGGCATCCTGCACTGAACATGGGTGCAGGCATCTCAGGCCGGGTGCAGCGCTCACTGGCCTTCCGGGGACGTGGTGCAGGGACCTGTGGAGATGGGTCCCAGACTCAGCTGGCCCACCCCATGGAGGGCAGACGCCTGCCAGGGCTGGATTTGGAGTCCAGGTTTTCTGACTCTGGTCAAGGGTCCTTTTCTCCCCTGCTGCCCTTGCGGGGGCTCCAGATACCCAACTTCAGATTCCACTGCCTCTGCCTGGGAGCCCGACGTGGGCAGCCTTGCCCTTGTGCTGTGCTGTAATCTGGAACACGGGGTCAGGGATAGAGCCTGCTGCTTCGTAGGTGCTGGTGAAGGTCCATGGAGAAGGGATGGGGCGCACAGAGATAGGGCCGAGGTATCCTGAACACCCCACGGGGGGGAGGCGGCTGCACTAGGAATAAGAACGCCCGTGTAAGCCAGACGCAGTGGCTCACGCCTGTAATCCCAGTACTGTGGGAGGTTGAGGCAGGTGGATCACGAGGTCAGGAGTTCAAGACCAGCCTGGTCAAGATGGTGAAACCCCATCTCTACTAAAAATACAAAATTAGCTGGGCGTGGTGGCGTGCACCTGTAATCTCAGCTACTTGGGAGGCTGAGGCGGAGAATTGCTTGAACTCAGGAGGCGGAGGTTGCAGTGAGCCGAGATCACACCACTGCACTCCAGCCTGGGCGACAGAGCGAGTCTCAAAAAAAAAAAAAAAAAAAAAACTCCCAGTATGACCAGGAGAAAGGTGTTCTAATAGGACAAGCCCTTGATCCCCTAAAGCCGGATAGACCTCTCTTGGGGTTCTCAGCAGAGTCAGGGCGTGGTCAGGAGGATGAGGGCTGACAGAGTCACTGAGCTTCCTCCGGGTGTCTCACTGATGAGTGTGTCCTAAGACTGTGCAGGAACAGGCCAGGCAGTGAGTGTGCCCCAGGGCCCACTACCTGGACCCCTAACGCCCGTGGCCTTTACAGGAAGGGAAGGAGGGGAGGGGGCTGCGGGCTCTTGGCTGAAGGGAGCGCACTCTGCCCAGGCTTCAGCCCGTGCACCTCTCCTCCCCGCAGATGCCCTGTGCACCTGGGGGTTGCGTGCACTGCTCAGGTGGGGTGCCCGGGAAGAACTCATGGGCCAGGTGGCCTTCCGGCTGAGCCACCTGTCTGTCTTCCCTAGACCCTGCAGCCGTGTGCCACTGGCCCTCCTGCCACCAGCCCTGAGGGTTTCTGGGAAGCTCTTTGGCACTTGGGAGGGGGATTGTGGGGCGAGAGGCTGAGCTTGCTGGAGTGGGCTGGAGGAGAGGGGAGCCATCAGAGGCTTCTGGTGCATTTTGAGGACCTGGGGTGGGAGGAGCGGGCCCTGGAGCCTTGTTTTTGTCCTTATTAAAAACATCTATCAATTTGCATCTGTGGAAGGCATGTGATTAAACACCAGGTACGCAGGGCCTCTGGGCCACTCTGTGGCTCTCAGGCCTCGGTTCTACAGAGCTGGATCCCGGGGCAAGCTGGGGCAGAGATGTGGCGGCCTTCTTTCCAGGGAAAGGGACTGCTTCTCCCACAGCCACTGCCCTCCTGGCTGCCTGTATCTGGAACCACTGGAACACATGGTGGCCAGGGCGCCTTCTCGGGAACACTGATGCTTCCCAAGACTGGGAAGGAGAGAGGTGCTCTGCACTGCCAAGGAGTTCACAGCCAGGCCGTCCTTTCTTCTCCTGACTTCCGCCCGCCCATGGGGAGAGTTGGGGTCAGAATTGATTACTAATTGAATCTGGGTCTGCTCATCTGAAACCGCATTCACTTCCCTCTCACCAGGAGCCTCCTGTGCCTCAGGAGCCGGGTCCCAGAGACCCAAATTAAAACCGCACCATTTTCAAGGGGGGCCAAACAAATTAGTTAGCTTGCTTCTTTTTGCACAGTGGGCATTTTCCAGGCTGCCATCTAATTTAATTTTTGCTTTTCTATTTTCCTGCTCTGTGTGCATAATAAGTTTCCTCACATGTGAATTGTGTTTGCTAAAGAGAAAACTTGTGCTGTGTTGGGCTGGGTTGGAATTGAATGTGAGTAGGGTTGAAATATTGCTGCCCCTACTGTGTTCCGTGACCACAGGCACCCGGAATGCCGGAGGAAGCCTGACTCTGCTCACGTGTTCATTCGTTGGCTGCTTAATTACTCATACATTTGCTCACTCACTCATCTGTTGGAAGAAGGTGTATACCCATGGCAGCAGGGGAGGTGAACGGGGGCGTCAACTCAAAACACCCAATACAGCGAGCCACGCAGTGCTGCAGGTACGGGAATTCAGACTGTGGCCCCAGAGTGTCCTCACTTCTTCCTGCTGGGACCTCAGCAAGGATGCATCCATGAGGGGGCATTTGAATAGGGTATTGAGGGATGAAGAGGAGCTCACTAGAAATGCTTCTCTTTATGAAAAGAGGGGGCCAATGATTAGAGAGGAATTATAGCCTCCAGCCTCCCCGGCCTTGTCTCTGAGCCAAAGCATTTCTGGGTGAACCATGTCCCTGCCTGTACGGGGCAGGTCCATGAGTCTGTGCACCTGCGTGCGAGATCCAACTTATGGAACCATCAGTGAAAGATTCAAACACAAACCAGCCACGCACTGCGGTGCATTCCATCCTTACACACAGTATCAGCACTGTGGCACTTTCCATCCTTAAATATCAGCCACCGAGCCTCCCCTCCCCCAGGGCTGCCCTCTGAGGCAGGCACCCAGGTGGGTGATGCCCTGGTGGGCTGGGCAGGCCCTGCTTCTGCTCCTTTCTAGCTGTTTATGCAGCTGCACCAGGTTCCCTTTTCCGTCATCACACCCGTGCCGGGTCCCGCTGCCACCACAGCACTGCACTGAGGACTGAGACCCTGTCCCCGAGTCCAGCGCTCACCCAGCCCTTGCCAGGCGTGCAGCAGGTGGCTGTACCTGGCCAGCCCTCCTCGCTGAAGCAAGGTCTTCCTTTATGAATAGAGGTGCTGTCTCCTGCAAGTCAAGTTCTCCTGAAACTCCTTTCCCAGGAAATCAGAGACTGCAGCCCAGTGGTGGGGGCAGCAGAAGGTGGTGGTTTGTGGGTGGGACTGCCCCAGAGCCGAGCCAGAGGGGTGAAGGGTGGGAGCCTCAAGTCTCGGGCCTGGGTGGGGGCAGTTTTCCCTGGGAGCTTTTGAGGGAGTGGTAAGGTGCAGTCATGGCACTGCGCAGACTCAATGTCAGGGCCGCAGTGGCCACTGGGAGGTGCGGGACATCCCGGGCTGACCAATAGGTCTGGGGAGGCTGTGCCCAGGAAGGGGCAGGGTCGGAAGGCCTGGAAGTGGGGGCTGAGCGGAGCCTTGTATTCTCCAGACGTGAGACCTTGCAAGCCACCTGGGTCCTGGGCTGGGAAAAGAGACAGAAACAGGCAGGTGGGCACTGCTGGGTTCTGGGCAGAGGTGTGGTGGCCGGAGTCTTTGCTTCTCCGTGTTGGGAGTTTGAGGCGGGTGTGGGACAGTAGAGGCCCTGCCCACTCTCAGGCCGCGTGGGTAGGTGGCAGTAGACGCGCAGCCATAGGCAGGTGTGGGACAGTAGAGGCCCTGCCCACTCTCAGGCCGCGTGGGTGGGTGG